CCCTGCCCTGCCCCACCCCTTGCTCCATTTATCTGTTCTTGCCCTCCCCCCATGGTGGCACACGGCAACCCAAAGTTTGCCGGCTCCTACTGTACACTAATTCAGTATCCCCAAACTTGGTCTTCTCCAGGTGTGTTGGATTACACTTCCCATGATAAATAAATAAATAAACCACACTGGCTGGCTATGGTGGAATGATCTGGCAGCACCAGGCTGAAGGAAGCTGTTCTGGTTCTGAGAATGGGGGAGGGACCACAACTGGTACTTACAGATTGCTTGTCTCACAAGAATGGGATCAGATTCTGGAGAACTTTCCCCTATGCCAGCTTCATTGACACATTTGACACAGAAGACATACTGTTTGCCAGTTTTGAGTCCTGGAACGGTGAATCTAAGAAACAAAACAGAAAGCCATCCACCCATTCCTTGATGTCCTTTCTTAGCACTGGTCTGTCACACTAGAGCAGTGTTGTCCAAACTTGGCTACTTTAAGATGAGTGGACTTCAACTCCCAGAATTCTTAAATTCACCTTAAAGTGGCCAAGTTTGGACAACACTGCACTAGAGACTCTAAGTCTAAAACAGCTGAAGCTTTCAGCTATCTTGGAACATACTGGCTATGTTCACACAACACACTGAACCTGGTTACTGAATTAACCCATTTTATGGGTATATATCATACAGAATCACATAGCTTAGTTTCACACACCTTACTAAGCCACTAAGCAACTGACCACATTTAGCCCTTCGTGTGAATGCAACCATGAGGTGTTTCACCAACCCGATTGTGTTGAGTGAACCCAGCCAATGTCTAGAGCAAAGGATTGGTTGAATAAAAACAGAGGTTAGTGGAATAAGGGCACAGCAGGTTCAATGGGTGGCTGCTTCCAGCAACAGCCTCTGCCAGATGAGAGATGGGAAATGGTGAGAGATGGCAAAATAGGACTTTTTCAGCAATGGCACTGACTTTGCAAATTGTCCTTCCGAAGGAGATTTATCAGGTCCGGACTTTATTTCTTTAGCTGCTTGGATGAACCATCTCTAACTAATTCATTTTAAAATGCTGATATCTCAGTGTGGTTACCTCCAAGATGAACGTTCTTTAGTTGTTGGCATTTCATTTGTTTGGAACCCCATTCTTTTTATGTCTCCGTTTACACTTGATTAGGTGAGCTGCTTCTAAGATAAACCCATTAAACAAAGAAGATTCCATCGCTTTGCTCATAACAACCAGTCCCTTGCTGCTGAATGAAATTGGAGACTTGAAAAGGGAGAATGTTTTGACAACGTTGCAGCTCCACATCATAACAATAATGTGGAACTGCAACGTTCCACATAATAACAATATCCTTCCTTTCCTTGTTTTGAAATCACAGAACTGGGTATCATTTTCCCACCCCTCTCTCCAAGCAAATGTCAGGTAGGGAGCCCAGAAATGCTAAAAGCAACAAAGATGGGAAGGGTCACCAAATGAACTCACTCATGACAAGTGACAGGTTTGTTGTTGACTGTTTGCCATTCGTCTGTCCCAACCTCCCGGCAATAGATATAATAACCCAGCGGTTCCTCTCCTTCTTTTGGTTTGCTCCACTGTACGACCACAGATGTTTTGGTATCTCTGAAAGCCAGGACCTGAGATGGGGGTGGAAGTGGAGCTAGAAAAAACCAAAGGTAAAAAAAATGGAAACCTAAGATCAGCAACCAGTTGAAGACCATTCATATGCTTCCTTTCAACTGTTCTCAAGTCTGTATCAGCTAAGCCAGTGTTTCTCAACCTTGGCAACTTTAAGACGTGCGGGAACATGCTGGCTGGGAAATTCTGGGAGGTGGTGTATACGTCTTAAAGTTGCCAAGGTTGAGAAACACTGAGCTAGATTATTGTAGACCTCAATGACCTTGATGAAATGCAATATGAAATACAAAATATATTGCACCGAAAGCACTTTCTTTCTTTCTTTCTTTCTTTCTTTCTTTCTTTCTTTTTATTTATTTATTTATTTATTTATTTATTTAATTTGTATGCTGCCCATCTCCCCAGGAGGGTGACTCTGGGTGGCTCACAATAAAAATTTTAAATTGGAGTAGGACACTTTCAGCTTTGATTAAGCTTCTGCTCCTCTATGGGCTGGAGTGTTTGGAGGACAATATGCTGCTCTTTCATCATTCTGCCCTAAAAGAGGAACAGGGAGATATTAAAAAAAATAAAAAAAAAATTAAGAAGCATTTAAGATATCCAACTGAAACTTGGTACTCTTGTCATTTTTATCCCATTGTGTCCAGAAGTGAAGCAGCTTCAGACATTTTGAATTTTCTTCATTATGCCCATGAATAATTTTTTTTCAAATCAATGAATCTCAAAGTGGTGTGAATCAAATCAATTTGTCACAGAATCTTGACTCACAAATTCAGATCAAACGTGACCTTCTTCACATCTACACTTCAAATCAAATCGGGTTATTTGATGGTTCAGATAATAGGAGATGATTTTATATTGTTGAACGCTACTACTGTACTATTGTTTAATAATATGTAAGCATAAATAAGGTAATTGGTTGACTAACAACTTGAGTTAACCAGAAGCCTTACTTGGCTAGAATATACAGGAAGGAATTTCTGGCACATCCCTATGAGCTAAGTACTAAGAAGGTCCAATCTTGTAATGGAACTGTTAAGGGAGACTCGGTAGGGAATCTATTCCATTTCAAAGTTTAACAATCTGAAGAAGACAACCAGGAGTATGGACACTTGCTCTATTTTTAAAGAGGAATCCTATTCTAATGATCCTTCTTTTTCATTTTGCCTGGTGTACTTCTCGTTATAGTAGAAATGGTTTGTAAGCCAACAGCAAACCTTACTAGATTTTATCTCACTGTAAGTTGCCACTGAAACGAAAAGAGTGAGAGATTACCAATTTTTTTCCCCAGAGAGATGGGCTCACTGGGTACAGAAGGCTGGCTCACTCCGTACTTGTTCACTGACCGTACGCGGAAACAGTATGACTTTCCCTTGTCCAGATCACAGACAGCAAAAGTGGTGGAATTGACGGGAATATTCAGATTAGCCATCTGCCAGTTGTCACTGCCAGCAATTGACTGAAAAGACAGAAAGAGACTACCATCATGTGCCACTAAAATAGGTTACCATCTGCCTGGGACAACAGCTCTCCCAGGAGAAAGGAATGACCAGCCTTGCATTTCCATGCCCAGTGACCCAATGTGGAAATCGCAGGGACAGTCCATGGGAATGGACTTGGTAGGGCTCACATTATAGGCTGTTAATGGAAACTTGTGATGTAGAAATGAGAAAGTTGCCTACTGACCTGGTTCTCCCCAATTTGGTGGTCTATCAGGGACTGTAAAAACTAGCAGTGTGTGTGTTATTATGGTCTTTTCCTATCTTGCATGTTTTTTCTGCCATGTCCCCATAATGTTGCCCTCATGTTAACCCCAACCCCTGGGTGAGACAGGCTTAAGTTATCAGTGTAGAAATTGTGTTTTCCTCTTATTCCAACACTGCCCAAGAGAAACCTCAAGGAATGTAAAGATTTACCATCCATTATCTTGGAGGAAAGGCAGGGGACTGGCAGTGACTGGGAAGAGATGGATTGGCTATGGGGACAACACATGGAGTCATACTGGTTGGCTCCTCCCTTTCATCTTGGGTGGCTCACCCCTGATGGGTGGTTTATGATGTTTCTCCCAAGACATCCAGCTTCATGAAAGAAAGAAAGAAAGAAAGAAAGAAAGAAAGAAAGAAAGAAAGAAAGAAAGAAAGAAAGCAAGCAAGCAAGCAAGCAAGCAAGCAAGCAAGCCAAAATAACTCAGGGGTTGGTTTAGGCTTGTTACTCTGCACAGCAAAGGGTAGGAGATGCTGGCAGATAAAGCCAGTGGTTGTGATAAGGCCCACTCACACAACTTGCTTAGCAAGGCTAGCAGCTGCATTCTCACAAGATTAAACTTGGTTAATTTTAATCTTGGGTTGTGATTGCTTGGCTATCAGGTGAATCCAGGCCATTTGGGTAGTTTATCATTCAACACATTGTACAAAGCCAGAAAGCAGGTTGACTCAGTAATCAGGTTAAGCTTATTGTGTGAATCCAAACAACCATTTCCATGCAAAAAATGGGCAAGCTTTGTCACGCATCTGGACATAGCTAAGATTTTGGGATGTATTTTTTAAGTTTGGAAAGAATTTGGAGGGGTTTCCTTAGGTTTTTTTAAAGCTTACATTACAAATATGTGCATTTCTTACTTCAAAATTGTGAGAAATTGCACCATTGATTCCCAGCAACTGCAGTCAGAAAGGCTTCCAGGAACCACAATAATGGGGATCACATATTGTCCTGGATACTCAAGCTGCTCCTTCCTGGAGTATAGGGAGGGGAAAATCTTTTTTGCTGTGGAGGACAGTTTTTGTGAATGGAGGAGGGCATTAGGTTTTGTGGACAGTTACTCTTAGTCCTCAAATTGGTTTGAGAAAGAACTTGGTTTGAAGAACCTGGATGAAGTTTGGGCTAATCTGAAGGTAGCTTGGGAGGGTTGATCTATCTTGCATTAATTCAGTCTCTGCTATTTCCTTACCTTTTCTACGTAGTAACTCAGTGGCTCTTTGCCTCTGGGGTCTGGCTCATCCCAGGAGAGGATCACATAATCTTCTCTGATCTCACTGGCATGAACATTAGTGGGTGGCAATGGGATCTTAACCTCAGCTATAAGAAGAGAGGATTAAAACAGCCATTACACACTGTAGTGATGCAAGACTAGATTTTCAATAAGGAAGGAATGGCTAGGCTAGTAACATGGTATCCTCCAGAATGGTGGGACTTCACTTCCCAAAGTTTCTCAGCCACATCCAACATATCTGGAGGGCACCAGATTGGGGATGACTGATACAGTGGAATCAAGGGATGCGTGTATAAGGGAACAGCAGAGCTGAATATCAAAATTTTGCCTGCAGAAGCTCTTAGCTTTGGTTCTTGGTATCTCCTGTGAAGACCAGAGAAAGTTCTACTTAGACCCTGGCCATTGGGTAGAAGTTACTTAACAAGAAGGATTGGGGTCTGGTCCAACTTAAATCAGCTTCCTGGGTAACTCTTTGGTTATCAGAAATGCCATTAGAACTTCCATTTGTAGTGGGAGGGATGAATTCTAGAATTGCTGCTCTGCAAAATGTATAAATAGCAATTCAATCTAACATGAAAACATCTCTGGAACAGAGTATTTATCAGAGGAATACTTAAAGAAACTTAAGAAATGAAGTTGCCTATGAACTTACGTTCCAGTTCATCTTTGGAAACTATAATTGTCCTCATCCCATCGTCATAAGGAATGTCTAATTAGAGAAAAAGAAAGGGAAAGGAAAAATAAATGAGTTGGAAGCAGTGAAAGAAAAACATGTGGTGAAAATTACTAGGGTACTTGCCGCCCTAATTATAAAGTCCAGCTTCCATCTTGGTTTCCAGAATTGCAAAATGGCTGTATGCACACAATACATTAAGCTCTAAACTCAAATTAACCAATCACAATATCTATAGTCCTATAAGATCCATATACAAATAAATAAATTATATTATGGTGCAATGAGATGATCCAATTCACACAACATAAAAAGGCAATAGCTGGTTTCCCAAAAACATGTAGAGCTGTAAATTTCTACCTCAATTTTTAGCCTAATCTAGAAGCTGCTGAACAAGACCAATGCATAGGATGGCTCGCTCTATTTTCTCCATTGTCCCAAAGCCAAAATGGAGACTTGACTTGGCCTCAAGTAAGCATCCTCAAGGTGTTAAACTCAAAATGCCTAGCTCAGTGAAGATGGCTCCTTTCTTCCTTCAGCCTTCATGGAAGGGTGAAGGTGAGGAGACATGGTTCAGAGCATCTAAATGGGACATGGGCTGGGGAGATTGGTTTAGAGGGCACATGCCTTGATAGCATCTTCCAAAATCTATTTGTTTATATTGCCACCCATCTCATATACAGTATATGAATCTATTCTGCCCCTGTTCCAGTTCCTTTAAAATCTAAGGTAATTCCCCTCCAGATCTTTTAAGCTTCAAAAGTTCAGAACCTCTTTTAATTTAAAAATATTCACTTGGCAAATGTTTCCTTTTACTCCATTCTTGAAACACTGTAAATTCTTGCCTCAATGTCTCTCTATTCAAAATTGCTGGATTTCTCGTCATATTTTAATTAAAGTATCCAGCTTCATCAGTCTGGAGAAGAGAGACAGCTGAATCAATCCATTCAGTTCAAATAATTAGTTCAAGACCAAACAGCAGAGATTTTAATTTCCTTCTTTCTCAAACAAGAAAAAAAGTTTTGCTTCCAGTACCAGCAGAATTCAGCCTAGAAGCATTTTTAGTGGCAAATACTTGTATACCCAAAGTCTTTTCATAGGGCATCATAAGGGTATACAAATTATTCCTGAACTGTACAAATAGATGATTAATGCCTTAATTTGTTCAATCTAAAGCAGCATTTCAGTCCAAAATGTTCCAGTTCAAAACTAACTTGAATAATCAAATCAAATCAAGTCAGTTGAATCCTCCATTTGAATTAGAGAAAAATGCTTTTGTACCAGAAAAGCAGTTGAGTTGTCAAACTGAATTGACCATTTGGATTGTTTCAGTTTGATGAATATATTTGATTAGATTCAACCAAATCACCTTTGAATCAAAACTCCAAATGGAATATTTGAACTATTCTAGGGCACAAGTAATCTCTTGATAAATCTAGCAAAACCTTTATTGCTATTTTGATGTGTTGGCATGGAATAATCATTCTTTGTACCACAACTCTTTTGCTTGAGGTTATTGGTGGTCTGCATTGTCTTGAAGACTGCCTTCAATTTTTGTGAACCTTGAAATGGTCTAAACAAAGAATGATGTACTTAGCAATCTCTTGGCCTCATTGGGATCTATCATTGTCACAGGGCTGCTGGCTTTCGAAGGGTTACTGATTCCTGCGCGGTTGACAGCCTTCACTCGGAACTGATATGTCTTTCCTTCTGTGAGACCCAGAATAGGTGACCTGCAAGTTTTCACCAGCTGGTCGTTGTAGAGAACCCATTCATCTGTGCCCATTTCACACCTGGAAGGCAAAAATACCACTTTTGTACAATTGATGATGATCTAAAAAAAGAAAAGGGAAGGGGGAAGGTTGGAGTTCTATAACTCTTGAGTGCAGACCTTTCAATGTAATAACCAATGATTGGGCTTCCACCATTATCACTGGGAGGTACCCATGAAAGTATGAGACTGTTTTTGTTCACATCGTGGCATTGTACAAGGAGGGGAGATCCAGGAGCACCAGCTGTTGCAGCTGTAGCATCTGAAAAGAACAGGAAGCTATGGTGAGATTGTTGAGTCAAGTCAAAGGAGATCTCAGTTTTATCTACCAGACTCTGAAATCATTGTTGGTGATGGGAAATGTTTACTGCAGTAAGGTACAGTACTTAAGGTGTTGACTGGACTACAAAGATAAGGTTCATTTGAGTGACTTTGGGCCAGTCACTTTCACAGCCTTGAGAAGGGTAATCTATATATGGGGCCTTGAGGTTCTGAAGGAAATTACAGATATAAATCTGACTCCTAATCTATTTTTTCTTTCTCTCTGAAGTGACTTGCTCTTGCTTTTCAACCAGACCATCCTTCTCCAACTAGATGCTCTCTCTATGTCTTAGTCTACAATCCCATCAGTCTTAGCTAGTACCAATCCTGATTGGGAGGACTATGGGACTGCAGTCCAATACATCTAAATATCATCAGGCTGACGGAAGCTGCTCTAGCCTAGGGTTTTTCAGACTGTGCTCTGTAGGATCCTAGGGTTCCATGAGAACCTGTGAGAGACTAAGGACACCTTTCATGGCCAAGCCAAGTGAGAGTTATGAGAATGACAGCCCAGCTCATCTGGAAGCTATTAGTCGGCAAAGGCTGGCCAAACCTTTTTGGCTTTTTGAGCAATATTTAACAGTGCCACTCTTGTCAAATCAATAATGGTGCACATACCCCTAACAAACACATAAGCTTTTTGTTCATTGTAGCCATCTTGTGTCGGGATGCGGATGCTGTAAAAGCCTTCATCCTCCTTGTAAGCACAGGATACTGCCAGGGACGCCTCCCGGTCCTCACATTTTATTTTCCGGCGGTTGGAATCTTTCAGCAACTCACCTACCATACAGGACATAAAACATCACCTTGGTTTGTCCAGTCAGTGGATTCATACTAGAGATGATACTTAGCAGATGTTCAGAATCTGGAATCCTGAACATTTTCAGATTTCACCTGCAAAATGTGCTGTCTGTGTCAAAAGGTAGGATATAAATTGAAATATTGAAATAGTAAAAAAAAGATAACTCTTCCTTTGCCTCCTCTTCCACCACCAGCAAAAGCACTACTGAGGGAAAACTTGAAACAAAAAGTCCTATTGGTGGAAATATTTTTAAGGCAATAGTATCAGCAATTGGCAGCAATTAGTAGACCCCAGCTGACCTCAGAAGCTAACCAAGATCACCCTTGGTTGTTCCATAGATGGGAGGTCTCCTGGATGTACCAGTGCTGTTGATTAGATTGGAAAGACAAAGGTCATCTTGGAAGAAATCAGTGACAAAGTAGTTCCAAAATGCTGCCAAGAAAATTGGATGGATGCAGTCACCAGGTGTCCAACTCAGCTCAAGGATACTTTATCCTTATTAAGGAGCAACTTGATTCTCCTTCCCACTTAAAATGTCTAATTCAAACCATAAATGAGAATGTTGTTGGAAACTGGAATTCAGATAAAATAGCAATTAAGATCATGAACACATGAACACTGTGACAAGGAGAAATTCTTTGTTCTCCAATTCATTTTATTGAATTGCCTAGAAAGAAATCAAAGAATTTTTCCCACCCTGGTGCGAAATCTCCTTAAGACATACAACAGAAACTATTCCTGAGATGTCTTGGGCTATTCTTGTTAGTCATTACCTGTAAAAACTGCCCAATGAAAGACAGATATTCAAAGATATATATATAGATTTTTCAAAACAACAAGATAGGTAAGCTGTCTGCTAGAACTCCCAAGGGACATGATTCCCAGCTTCTAAAAATAATGTTTAGAAATTGCACAAGTTTCTTGTGCACAAGTAGAAGTCTCACAAGTTCTGATATGAGATAGCCAAAACATCAGAAGAAATCTCGTGCAAGAATGCTGGAAAAGACTCAGGAATCTCACAAGATTTTGCTTGATTTTGCATGAGAGTTGGATTATTTGGGAGGGCAGGGGAGGTCTCCCTAATAACTCTATGAAAAGGGTTGTATTCGCATAGCATGCTTATTCAGGTGGATACAAAAGAGTGAACCCAGCCTGTTCGCTTAGTTGAAGGGTCAACGTATTGCACAAACTACTGAAATGGGTTAATTCAGGAACCAAGTGAAGAGTGCTATGTGAAAACACCAACACATAATGGCATCTAGGGTGGAAAACCAAAGTCTGCTAAACCTGGTGTGGTGTACTGTATTTTGATGCTTTTTCTGAGCACAAAGAGCCATGCAGCGTTGGGGCTATAAATACAAACCATCTCGGAACCAGCGGATATTTCGTTGGTATTCCTGCAGGTCTGAAGTGAAAGTGCAGACGAGGGTGAAGGGTTCCTTCTCTCTAGCAAAGATGGGCTTCAATGTGCTGGCAAAGTCAGCTTCTATGCCTCTGAGTCTCTCTACGAAGCAAGGAGATGTTGGGTAAGAAGGAAGGTTCAACATTGCATTCCCAAAGTAGAGTGAAAACCCTTTTCTAACTTGGGGCATAGGTGCCCCGTCCTCCTCACAACGTGCCCAGAGCAGTTTGAAGCTGGTCTTCAGCTGTGCTGATCTCAAAACACTGAGCACAGGCAGAGATCACCATGAGAAAGAGAGAGAGAGAGCAGGAGAAAAGAGATCCGTGTTACCACTTAGCAAAATGTATCTGTTCCTTTGCACACCTACGATGTACCTGTGTGTGCGTTACCGCTGCTAATTCCCCACCACCACTGCTGGGTGCCCTCCGTGACTTCTGGATCTTTCTTCCCACCTTTTACTAACTGGAAGGAGTCTAACTTGCTTCTACTCCATGCAGAGGTGACTTTAAGAGTCTTACAATCTGCAAGATGGTGGGTGCAGCGTTTGATAGAAGTCCTTCTCCTTGTGTATGTGCCCCAATGCCACACCATGTAGAAGAAGGGTTGAGCTTTGATCGTGAGACCATCTTCCAGATCTTGGCATCTCCTGCTGACGTCTCTGCAGGCTGCATGACTGCGTGCGCACAATGTCCTTAATCAGGTTCATGAAAGATCTAGCAGCTGCAATCACACAGCTCGCTAAGTCTGGTTATTTTTAATCTTAGTTGTTTTGAGATTAAACTGCTATATAAGCTCAGCCTGTTTAGTTAGCTCATGGTTCCACATATCATACAAATCCCGATTAAGGGGTTAACTCCAGAACCACGTTAAGCATGTTGTGGGAACATCGTTTCTTTCTGCTATCACTGCAAACCAAGTCTTGCTTCCCTTTCAAATCTGGGGCATTTTGAAGCCAACTTTAAAATGGCCCAACCAGAGACCACAGTTGCACTGTATAGATGCAGAGTTAGTCAAAACAAAGAAACGAAAACCAACATAAAGAATCATAAACTTCTACTTACGTTTATAGATTTCCGAGTCAAATCCAGACTCCATTCCATAATATTCTACAAGAGGGTAGAGCAGGGTTGATGGGGGAGTGGGGAAGGGGGGGCGAGAGAGTGAGACAGGCATTTATAAGCAGGCATTTCACCGTTTCATTTGTAAATAATAATTTTTATTTATTTATTTAAACAATTATATGGCTGCCCAACTCATTCACGGGGACTCCAGGCGGCTTACAAGAATAAAAGTCCCAATACAAAACGCACTCCTCCCCCTCGCATAATGCACAGTGGGTTGTTGAAACTTGATCTAAAGGATCAGCAGTGAATGAAGTCAAGTCCCAGAATCTCTTTGGTTGGGACCAAGAATCTTTCTCTTTCCTTATGTGGTTTGCCCTTTGCTTTGCTTTGCGTTTCTTCCCTTGATTCCTAAGCAGCAGCCAGATGCCTGATTTGCAAGCTCTGCTTCACATTTACTGGAGGACCATTTCATTTGGCCGCGTCCAGTGGTGAGTCCCAAAGCTTTGGAGCACATCAGGATGCCGAAGGTGGCTGCATTTGCCACGTAGGAACAATTCATCTCGTGTATAGTTCTGCCCTGCCCTTGCATTGAATTGAGAAGGAAATAAATCTTTTTAAAGATTTCTGAACGTTTAAAAAGCCCAACTTTTTAAAAGTTGGAGTCAGAGGGTTTGTCCACCCATCTGGCTTGCCCCGGCAGGAGGACGGCTCACTATCCATGTCCCAAGGACAGGAACACGCATTGTCCTCAATCCACCCCAGCCTGCAGCAAAGGCGGCCTCTGCCCGTTTCTTCTTGCTCTGCATCAAAAATAGCATTTTCCGACTCCTGCTGGCACAGAGGCTGCTGCGCCTCGCCCGCGGGGCTTCATTTCCTGATAGGCAAATGTCTCTGCTCTGATTGGCTACTGGGTGCTGTGGTGGGAACGCCCCTCCCCTCTCCCCCTCCCGGGGGCTGCTCGTCAGCCCGGTTCATCCTGGGTTGCGGGTCTCTGAAATGCCAGGCCATTTTTTTAAACACACGCTCCCAAGATCGCCAGTGGAACGGTGAAAGGGTGGCCTTTTTGGTTACGATTACTGCAGGTTCGCTGGTGAAATGGTGGAAGTCTGGTTTTAAGAAATATGCTCATGGAACAGTGAAACACGGACTTTTCTTTTTCTGAGTAGGTGACATTGAGAAGAGATTTGCCAGGTTCCCCATTCTAGCCCAGGAGGCATGAAAAATGGAGAAACTGTGGCTTCCCTTCCCTTCCTTTTTTCTCTCTCTCTCTTACTTTTCTTTCCCTTTCCCCTCTTTTTCTTTTCTTTCCCTTTCCCTTTCCCTTTCCCTCTCCCTCTCCCTCTCCCTCTCCCTCTCCCTCTCCCTCTCCCTCCCCTCCTCCCTTCCCTTCCCTCTTCCCTCTTCCCTTCTCTTTTCCCTTCTTTTTTTACAGTCCATTGGGGGTTGAACCTCAAAAAAGAAAATCGTTGGTGTTTCATTTCCTAGCACAGATTTTAGAAGGGTAAAAAAACCTTCTAATCCCCCTATCCACCAAACGTCGGCTGTTTTAAGTGTCCTTCGGACAGAACACCAGGCCACCACCATGCTCAAAGTGCAGAAAAGGACTGAAATCTGACAGAAAGGGGGGATTTCTTAAACTGGCTTCATCTCCAGCCAGATGACTCACAGGAGCCTGCAGTGCAGAAAACCCCCTACTGAAATCAGGAGAGGTGAGTCTCCGAATAGCTGCAAGGGTGCCAAAAATGATGGAAACACAATTCCAGCCTGTGTCAAGCTCCCTTTGTTTGTTTGACTTTAAAGAAAAAAGATTGAGCTCTCATAGCCTGGAGAAACACCCTTTGCATACCATTGAGGGAAAACAGCAAAGGAGGAGAGCAACTGGCAACCTCCCTCAACCAGATGTTTTCCAGTTGTTGGACTACACTCCCTCCTTCCACATCTAGCTGGGGGAGTGCTGGGAATTCTTTTCCAACATACCTGGAGGAGAAAATTTTGGCAAAGTTCGGATGAAAAGATGAGTCATGGGCAAAGCCCAGAAAACAGTTGGGAAAACTCCTCAGGAGTTGAAACACGCATCACTTATATTGCAACAGTGCATCTGAGGAAAATAATGTCATGTGCTTCATGCAGATAACATCTGAATTTGCAGAATATTCCTGCCCTTGTAAAGTCGAGTCAAGACTTACTCCTGACAAACACAGTTGCAAATGAGTTGGCCTCTCCATAAGGGTTCTTCACTTCCACGCTGTATTCAGCAGAATCATCCAAGGAGCATCTAAAAACAAACACAGAAGACCCTGAGATGCTCCAGTTGTGTCGTATGTGACCAGAAACTAGGGCAAATGATCTGGTGTCTTCATGTCCCAACTGCTCTACATGATCTGTGAATTTTGGTTTCTCTTCATCTCTTTTCACATAACAGTCTCTTAACCTGGTTGCTCATATAATCCATTTTCTGAGTTTGCACAATACATGGGAACACCAGGTGATCCACTTGGTCTGTGCAACACATTAAGGCACAAAAACTATCCAAGTTTAGAATTAATCAAGTTAAAAGCAGCCAAGCTTAGCATATTGCAAAAATGCAGTTGCCAGTGATATAAACACAACCCTTGTTTCTCATTGGTTTCTTAAGTTTGTGACATCCCTTTTCTTCATGAGATCTCACAATCATCTTGGTTTTTAGATTAATCAGTTACCTCCTGATGTCCAAGGTAAGCATTCCAAATTCATTCTTCATTTTATATTTCCCTGCTGGAGCAACACGGGGATCAATTCGAACACCATTTTTAAACCTGGTCAGGTGCAAAGAGAAAGAAAATGAAGATCATTAAGTGATGTTTCTAGAAATGTTGAATGTCCATCAAGCTTTATCACACACTGAAAACTATTTGGAAAAAGTCTTTCAGATTTCATTAAAGCAGTTAAACTTTTCTCAGGCTTTGCAGAGTGGCACTGTGGCCACAGAAGGTCCAAAGTGTTTCTTCCAAATAATTTCCCCAGTCTAGTGCCCCCCATATGTGAGGAGTTTCCAAGCATGATGGGACTTGCAGTCCAGCACATTTGGAGGACACCAGCTGGAAGAAAGATGTATACCAGCCATAGTGAGTTGAAAAAGCTATCAAAAATCAGTACAGAGCCCTTATTCATCTATATTTATTTGTGAAGGATCTTCCACTGTCATTAAAAAAAAAAAACAACAGCTGAAGGGGAATGTGATGTCATGAAGATGCCCTGTAGAAAGCAAGTGAAAAAAGTGTGGTTGTTCTGCAAAAATGGGAAGCGCCTGTAACAGCAGACACAGGTTTCTGGACAGAACAAGTTTTGAGCTAAATGTTGATCAAAATCACCCCAGATGGGATGGTTTCTAAGCAGATACATTCTTTAAAACATCCTTCTGGAATCTGAGCAATGTGTTTAACATTTTCCAACTCTAAACTCTTTCACCTGCTGAGGGGGATGATGCGTTAATTTCATTCTCAAATTTCTTTTCTTGAAAAACCAACCAACCAACAAAGCAGAGGATTAACTGAGCTTGGAATGAAAGCAGTTCTTCCTCTATCCTCAACAGGGCATATCATCTCCTACAATTATAGTGAATAAGCAGTAGCCCTTGCACATTTAAAGGCTCCATTGGGGGGAAAAAACCCTCACCTGCAAAAAGAGCTAAGCTAACTTCTCCTTCTCGACATGCTACTTTTCTGTGAGCAGGATGAAGTATTCAACCATGCACCTCTTTCTAAACCCAGAGGGTACAATTCTGAAAAGTCTACCATCTGCAGATGATCCCAGGTGACTTTCAGAAGGACAGTGCAAGCATTTTCTTCCTGACCCACTTACCAGGTTACCTTTGGCCGAGGATTAGCCAGAACAGTGCATTCCAGTGTGACGCTCATTCTTTCCCAGACCGCGTGAGCTCGGAGAGGGATCCAAAACATCGGTGCCCGGCAGGACAACAGTTCCATCACCTCCCTCTCCAATTGTACCTTTGCTTCAGCCTTGGATGAGAAGGCAGACGGTATTACAACTTTTTATCTTACCATTCTATAAATACATCCGCAGGCGTGGGATAGGGAACTATTAGCACCCTCTGGGTTTCTGGTACAAAAGAAGCAGGACAGACTTTGGATTGACCACTAGAATCAAGTTTTATTTTATGGCCTATGAAGGACTCGGCTGGACGGCTTTAAACAACCCTGGGGGCGGTCTCTTCCCATTGATTTTATCGATTCTAGCTGTTTGCTATATAATTGGTCATAACATTTTAATATGATTTCTTGGGTGCTAGGTAATGGATTATATATTTCTTTTCTTTGCGTGACTCTCTCTATGTAATAGTACTGATTAGTCTCTGCTGGCTGCTTTAGAGCAGACCCCAAAGGTGAAAGGTTATGGGGGAATCTTATTGCTCAAGAGTCTAGAAGTCTGCATGGATACCCAAGTTCATTGCCTGCTTGCAAGTTCTGAAAATCTAACCTGTTCCCACATTTGGCTGTGACGTTCCGGTTTCTAGCCTCTTCTGGTCTAATTACAGAACAGAAAGTTTACGTCTTGGAAGCAGCTAGGAGAGACCAGTAAACACTGACACCCTCTCCTAACTGGGTTAGTTCAGCTGCTGGTTGTTTTCTTCCATGCTTATCTTCATCTTCAACCTCCTGACTTCTTTTCTGCAAACGATATGGCTCTGATCCTTCTTTTGCCACTGATGACGGATTGTTTCTGTACTCTCCTGGAGCAGTGATTGTCAGACCATTTTCCTCAGAAACTCATGATGGGTTCTTAAATGACGGTGGTAAGGGAGATTAAATTTTCCCCAAGGATAACTTGGTCACTGGTATTGGTCTTTCCTTCCCACCCAGGGATGTAGGAGAGAGGTGGGAATGGTCAGCCTTATTCTCTCCATCCATGATGGGGGATGGAGGTGGAGGCAGGATGGGAAGACAGGTTGGCGATGCAGATACAGGTTACACAGACTTGCAGTCCCCTGCGTCTGCATTACCAATCTCTCGTCCTCTCCCTTCCCCCTTGCCACATCCCAATTTAAATTCTACATCAGTTTAGCCACTCTTTCCATCTGATGAACTGAGCTGCAGCCCACAAAAATTTATGCCTTTTAATAATATTTCTGAGTTGGAAAAGATGCTATCAGGTCCCTTCGGATTTTCTGGATCCCATGTTTAAAGAGATGGGCCAAAGTTTCTCAGTAGACATGCTTGTGGCTGGATACAGACAAGATGTGGATCTTGCTACTAAATTAAAGCTATTTTCTGGATGTGCAATGGGTGTGAACCCAGTTTACATATACCAGCCTTGTAAATGTTTTAGAAAAAGTTACTGTCCCACAAAACATTTTATTAGCTGGCTTGTCCACAATCATCTAAATAAAATAACATCTCCCTCCAGATGAACTAAATTCCTGGTCACCACCTGGACAGCTCCATTTTCATGCAACACTATGGAACTGCTCTACCACTGCCATCTTTGGGGATTTTTAAAAATTTCTGACTCCTCAGTCCAGTCCATAATCTGGGATTTCTTGGGTGTTTTCCATCTAAATAACAACTATGTCCCATCCTGTTTAGCTTTTCCCAGGTCAGCCAAGTTAGTCTAGGTCAGTGTTTCTCAATCTTGGCAACTTTCAGATATGTGGACTTCAACTCCCAGAATTCCCCACCCAGCATGCTGAGTGGGGAATTCTGAGAGTTGAAGTCCATATATCTGAAAGTTGCCAAGGTTGAGAAACACTGGTCTAGGTGCTACTCTAACAATTACCTAAAGTCTCTCCATGGCATTTGGGCTGTCTATTCTTTACAGTGGCACAAAGACAACCATCAAAGCAAGAAAACTGGTACTTGTCTTTCCTTGATAAAAAATTTGCAAAGAAAGAAAAATGAAGAAAGGGATGCTATTGAACATTACATGTAAACAGTGATGGTTATGTTACAAAAGAGCTTATACTGTGTATTCACACTTACAAAGCTTTCTCTGGAGAAATGTATGTATCATGGAAGAATGTCATGGTAAATAAATAAATATTAAAATTACTGGGTAATTTACATTAGCAGTTTCATAAATTAGGGAATGTGTAAAAAGCACCCCAGTGTTACAAGTCTCTGCTGCAAAAATTGAAAACCGTTATGTTTTCTGTGGATTTAAAAAAAATCTCTAGGGGAAAAAATGTCAGATTGAAATATAGCCCTTTGAAGTGGATATGAAATACATGGGTTTTCAGTTTGCACATCTTTTCCTTTGCCTCTCTGGCATAAAAAAGCTTCACTAGCTGGGTTCACACATTGTGCTAAGCCATGATTTGCTTAACATTTATAACCACAATGGGTTGGAGTTGCCTCAGCAATGAAAAAAAGGAGAGGAATGCTTCTCTGGGACTCGGGTGTTATCTTGAAATTGATTCAGAGGAGCCACACAGTCCTGGAAATACATTTCCAGGAAGAATATATTTCATCTGCTATGAGTTGACTATTAGTCCTCTCCATAGGTGATATATCCAGGGGGAATAAGTTACAGACCCTTTGGACCAGCGTTCCTCATCCTTGACAGCTTTCAGACGGGTGGACTTCAACTCCCAGAACTCACCAGCCAGCAAGGCTGGCTGGTGAATTTTGTGAGTTGAAGTCCACCCATCTGAAAGGTCCCAAGGTTGAGAAACCCTGCTCTGGACTGCCCTCAAGGCTAATGGAAAAACATGGACAAATGATCCTGTGAGATGTTTTGTTGAGATAGCACTTCAACTCAGGTCTGTCCACTGTACTCAACCAGTTTCATAGTTCCATAGACCCCAAAACAAAACTATACTCTGCGGATCATATTTCAAGTCAACTCCTCCCTGGTGTCCTTCAATAACCCCATCCCTTACCTTCCTCCGAAGGGCCTTCCTGTCAGCCTTCACCCGCAAGAACCGGCAGTTTCTGATGACATCCTTCTCCAGCTTTTCCATGTCATTCCCAAAGCGAATCCTCTTCTGTCCCCTCTCCTCTAGCTTTAGTATAGTGGCCTCCCGTCTCATCTTTGTTTCCCTGAGGATGATGATCATGAAACGGAAAGTCCAGGTTTTTAGGTTCAGACATAGACCTCACGCTGACCCTGAACCATCTCTTTTGATTCCCTTTTATTCTGGCTCCAGAAAATGATGAATAATCAATTCTCACCCAAAGGTTGTATGTCTGTATTCTTACTAGGCATTTCTCTACTAGCAATGTATAGTTATTCAGTCACTGTTATGGCAGCATATCACATATGAAGACAAATAGAAGATGATATAAATTGCTAATATGGAAATATTTATGCTTGCATCACATATACATGTCAAGAAGGTTTTCTATGAATTTACTAAGGTAATTACATTGTTAGGTGTCTATTCATTATTGTTTTAGAAAATAAGGGTGTTTATATTGAGGATATAAAGTTTTTCTCTGGCTATGGATGTGGCCTTCAGAGAAATCCAGAAGTTGTCACCAAAATACAATATTTAATGTAACAGAAGGTGAAAAGAAGTTCATCACTGGAGAATATAATGTTAACTATATTTACCAAGTGGGCTTGGCCCAGAAAAAAAATGTGCATCCTTGGAGTAAATCATTGGACCTACCATGATTCTTCAGTTGTCAATGCGAGAGCAGATGCTATGGTCAAATCCAGAGATGTGAAGGTTTCTTGTTCTTCACTGTTCCAACAAGGTTGAGATGGCAGATAAAAAATAAATAAATATTTGGATGCATAAATATTTGGACGGAAGAACATGCAATCATACAGGTGCATCATAAATAAAATATTCTGTCCGGAGAGCTTGTGCATAAAAAATCAACTACGAACTATTATCATACTTGCCTGTGAAATAATCACAGAAAAATACAGCATAATAATCAAACTCATTCTGAGTCTGAATTGTTTTCATTACATATTTACCATTCCAATTAAATGTAAAACGATGGATTACATTGAAAAGGGTGGCTGAAGAAGCTCCTGTGGGAACGTTATAGTTATTTTAATGAGCTGCTTTTTAAGTTGGTGTTCACTGACTTTTTCTCAATTTAGAAATGCGCTCATTTACTTGTCTTTCTCATTGCTGTCCCTCCCCCTTTTCCCTGGCTTGGCTGATGATTTATTTTGAAATGCGGCCTTGCCTGCCAAGAATGGTTAATCTGCTAACATTTTAATGCTGCTCAGGGAATGTGTCCAGGGAATGCTCAAAGCAGAGGCCAACTGCATTAAGAACTGAGGGTGCCAAAGAGAGAGAGAGAGAGACAGAATGAATGAACATTAATTTTCCAAGAAGCGTTGCTGAATTGCTCTCTCTACTTTATTTTGATTGCTTTAATTGTTATTTGGAGCCCTCCTTAATGGAGCCAAAGCCTCTTTGAGAACTGAAGACAAGATTAAAAGGCCCTGAAATAAATAAACAAGGCAGCTACCAAATACATATTTGTGGAATTGCAATGTAAATGAGCCATCGGGCTGTGATGTTCTTCTCAGTTCTTCAGTGTTATAATCCCATTGAAAGCACAGTCGGAGTTGAGATTTAAATAATAGCGGTGTTACCTTGCAATTCTGTTCAGAGCTTTCTGTAGTTAATGTCCTGCAAATGTATCAGGCTAAGACCTATAATTCCCACCCAATATTTCTAGTGAACATGTAGCTGGAAATTTTGGAAGTCATAGGTCTGAACATCTGGAGAACATCAAATTGAGAAAGATGCTTGCCACACTTATCTGGGAATTAGGGGAATTCAATGGCTGTATTCACACATACACTTAACCGGGTTAGGTAAAGTTGTATAAGATACATTTGCATAACATGTTGAGTTTGCTTATGATTAGGTTTTTGGTGGCTTCATGTGCTATGAATACTCAACCCATTGAATATGTTCATTGTTCAATATATTGTATGAACTCAAAACATGGATTAGTGTTTAAATCCATAAATTTAACCATTGGAGTCATGCTTTTTTGGGGGGGAATTTTGGAATGATCAGCTACATGTTGGTTTGTCTGACAGGTTGCTCATTATTTCTGTAATCTATAATGGTCAGTTGTTACGTCAAAATCTATCTCTAGAATCAGATATCATTACTGATACTGTTGATATTGCAGCTATTAATTTCTGGCTCCATTCTTCAAAGATCTCCTTTAATCTTTCCAATGTTATGACGTTTTGTGTTATTTTGTAAGTCTCAGTTAACCGACACTAAAAATTGGCTTGTATTTTTTTTCCTTCTACTTAGAATCTTTAGTCCCTCTAGTGTCCAGTTGCTAAAATCATAAAGCTACTTATCTTTGTTATGAACCAAGACAGCCAAAATAACTGTTTCCCATGAGAATCTATTTATTTTTTTATAGTTAATTCCAAAATCTTATAGTAAAAGTCAATATTCCAAATTTAACTGGACCCATAATCCACTTGTAACTTTCTTAGATCAAAATCCTATTTAGCTTTTTGTTGTTTCTTTCAAATTCTTTAAGTTCTTAAGCTTGTAATTAATTTTACTTTTGTTCAGAGTTGAAGCTAAACTCATCCAGCAACTTTTCAAACTTGTTGTCCGAAGGTCTCTAATAGCTTTAAGATGGCTAATAGGCAATTTCCAAAACTGATTAGAAAGTGAGGCTTGCAAACATAGTGTCTTTTAAAAGTCTCTGCCATGGTTGCCAGCAAGTTGGGTGATCCCATTATCTCCAGGCACTCAAACCTGCAGAAGACTGCTGTCCTGCGGTCTCCTTGTGATAAGCAGCTGTCCAGAGCACATGTGGGAGATCTCCCATCCTCTCCTTGTCCAGAGAGGTTCCAAGGAACTGGTCTACTCACTGATTTCTTGGACTTTGCCACAGTTGTCAGCTCCACTTTCGCAGAGACATCTTCAGTTTGCCATACCCCTCCCAGAAGTCCCAGACTGGTTGCTGATATCAAAATGTATTGACATTTATGGTGGGATCCATAATAAGTGCCCTGTTTCTACGTATAGAAATAGATATGAGATTTGGACTGCAGAAATCCAGGCAACCACTAGGTGGCATTAAAGAGGTAGAGTTTTCTGAATCTGCTTGCCATCATCCAGTGCTTATCCTGATTTTTGCAGTCCTGGTATAGTATGAATGTATATGCTGCTTGCCTAACTGGTCCAACAGGTTATTGATTTAACCCATTGGGGGTTTATATGTTAAATTGTAGCCTGGCCAGATAAGCCGAGTTTACGCAACAGGCAAACTTCCACAGAAACTAACCAAGGTTGAGTAGGTTGTGAGAACACAGCCACTAGATTTGTAACCGATTTGGTCAGGTGTGTTGTGTGAACAGAGTTATAGTTTTACTAAAAAAACATTTAAATGGGTCATCCTAGATATGTTTTCAGACCCCTTTTCCCAACCTGGATTCTGTTACTTTCTTAATTCCTGAACTCACCTGGTCCTGAACTTGGACTTTCTTGTCTGTGAAGTCATTTGGAAATCGCGATGTCTCTCTTCCTTCTGTTCCTCTTCTCTGTGGTGGTAAAAGGTGTGGGTCGTCATGATGGAGACTAGAGGAACCCTGTCTGCCAGAAAACATCAAACGCTCAATAAAACTACCTGAAAAAGAAGAGGAGAGGAGGAAGTAGAGAAGGAACCAAACATCGTGCATTAAAACCTTCTTAGGTTAACAGGTACAGTACATTTCTTTCCACCCCTCAAAGGTCAAAAAAGGGAACCCAGCTGAAAATTCCCCAAAGCATTAAGGCCCAACCTCTGAATCCCTTTGAAGGCCAAGGAAATAATCTTTAAAAAGTGCAAAAAGCTGGTAATTTCCCTGGTCTTGTCACACATTTGTTGGGGGGGGGATCTGTTTTTATTCATAAGCATACTTTTTTTAGTTTCCTTCATCTCTGAACCTAAGGCAGATCCAAGTCAGTAGAGTAAAAAAAAGAAAGAAAGAAATCTAGATTTAGGAAAGAAACGGTTAACAACCACGAGAAGTGCGTATTTCTCCTCTGTGGTCATGTCGATATTTGACGACTCTCAGAAGCGTAACCAGGAGATCTACAAAAATGGGATTAGGTCATGTCTTAAGGATAGAAATAGGGAGAGAAACAATGCGGCTCCTCCCGGCTGGTGTCCGTTTCATGCCGTTGAACGCCCAAGAGAAGCTACAATACCATCCTCCCCCTCCAGGCCTCCCCCTGGGATCAGGCTGCATTTAGACACAGCTGAAATGTTTGCGGGATTCAATGCATGTGGCCTTCCGAAAGGGCATTCATCCACCATGCCAAAGAATTTTAGGAACCCGCTCACTATGGCTGGGAGAAGTACAGCATTCAGACATAGGGCAGAGTAAGGTGACCATCTCAGGTGGCAAATGCCAGGGCCGGGGAAGAGAAGAGTCAGTTCCCTGACTATCCTTCAAGAACACCCTGGCCGTTGGAAGACAGCTGGGGAGGTCACATAACCTGTCCCCGTCTCCTAATTGAGCCTAGTGTTCGTGAGCTAGAGAGGACACTATTTTATTAAAACCTATAACATCTAGGGCAAGGTTTCCCAAAATCCAAACACCAAAATGAACACAAATGAACAATGAAAACCATACAATGAAACTTTGGGAAAGGTGGATTTATTGTAGTAATGTACTAAGAGGTTCTTCACACATCCCCTGGACTCTTCTGCAGAAGAGTCCAGGGGACTTGTGAAGAACCTTTTAGTACATTGCTAAACCTTTTAGTAATAGTAATTTAGTACATTTAGTACATTTAGTAATAATGTGCTAAATGTACTAAACCTTTTAGTACATTACTACAATAAATCCACCTTTCCCAAAGTTTCATTGTATGGGTTTCATTTGTCATTGGTGTTCTTTTTGTAGTTTGTATTTTGTGAAACCTTGCCCTAGATGTGTACATTTAGTACATTTAGTAATAATGTGCTAAATGTACTAAACCTTTTAGTAATAATGTACTAAAAGGTTCTTCACACGTCCCGTTCGGGAGAGTCCAGGGGATGTGTGAAGAACCTTTTAGTACATTACTACAATAAATCCAACCTTTCTCAAAGTTTCGTTGTATGGTTTTCATTGTTCATTTGTGTTCATTTTGGTGTTTAGATTTTTAGGGAGGTGTGTACATGAAGATTACACTAAAGGGAGGTGTGATGGCAAAAACTTTAGGAACCCCTGACATAGTGGAACCCATTCCTCTGCCTGTTGGTATCCTTGGCACTCTCATGCTACCATCTACAATTTGGCAACAGCAGATCTGGAGGAGAAAAAAAAATCCAGCTGTTCAACAGACATCAGAAATTATTTTTCTGAGCTCTGGTATGCCTCTGCTCGGAAAGAACATGTGTTGGGACCACCAGTCTCTTTGGTAGCAGCCTAAACCACAAGCAATTCTTTCCTAGTATGTTTTTCACAGAGTTCCCTTTAAGATTTAGTGAGATGGCTGGATGAGGTTGGAAGATTTCCAGCAACTGAATTATTTAGAACCAATACCTCCCTATATATATTGGAGTGGAAACTTTCTGATTCTCTTTCTAACAGTTTTCTAATGAACCAGTGAGAAGACAGGTCTCTTCACTGTTAACAGGAAACTTTGCAGCCACTTATTTGTCTCTTGAATCTCTGCTGGTCTGGGAACCAACTTACAACCACACAAGGAATTTAGAGATGTCCTTGATGAAGATATGAAGGATCCATTAAAGGGGATATGAAGGAAGAAACAAATCATTAAGGAGGAACTTGGCAAAGAAATTACATAGTCCAGAGACCAAAGTATATGTGAGAATGAAACACAAAATTATCCCACCTTGATTTTCTTTAGGAAACTCTGGCAGGCTTTCAAGATTGATATCGGCCTTTCAAGATAGGTCAGATGAAGAAACAGGCATGACAGAGGTTCCAGGAATGCTACTTGATTGTTGTAGCATCTAGTAACACAATTTTGAAAACCAGAGCAAGTTTCCCTCTGACCCATCTTATACTCAACCTGTCTCCCAGCCTTTGTTTTCTGATAGGAGGCGGATTCCTTGCCATGTCCCTGCCTCCCACTCCACAACTGGCAAGCTACAACAGTGAAAGTGATGTGGAGGAAGGTGAGCCAAGTGAGTTCTCCGTTGGAGATAGCTTGCACATTCAATGAGTGGTTTTTTTGGGGGGGGGGTAAGGCTGAGGCAGTCATGTAGTCATCTTCCAATTATCAGGGCTGGCTTTGCCATCTGACAGGGTGAAGCACCCCCTTTGGGAGGCAGGCAGGGAAGGATGGCA